GGCAGCGGCTCGGCTCCCTTTCGCTTTCCTGGCTGCGAAGCATTCCGGCTGTGAAGGTCTTGATACCGGCATCCAGGGACTGCTGCCAACTGCCCTTCCTCGTCCTCCTCCTGGACCTAGGTGAGGTGTGGTGCCGTGGTGCCCCCTCTCTGCCCCCCAAGAAAATAGGCTAGCTGTGGGGCTGGGTTGAGGACAGCAATGGTTTGTCATCAAGCCTGCCCTCCCTTACTCCCCCCTCCCCTCTAGAAGAAGGGTATAAATTGGTAGTCAATTTATTATTTTCATTTATCTACAGGGTTATGTAATTCTGCAAAAGCTTGTCTACCAACCAAATCGCCAGTTCTCACCTTAAGCCAACTCTCCTCTCACGCATTTAACATCCTCATGGCCATGAACACAGGTTTAGCTAGCAGCAGTACAAAATGGGCTACTGATGGTCCAGAAAAGGCTTTGTGGGAAATGGCTTGAGAGATGCAGAGGAGAAGCAAATTATTTTTTGTAATTATTTATTACAAAAATGCATGATATACAAACAAAATTAAACATATACAAAATAAATATCCTTAGCAAGATAATATAGCTTAAGCCTTATTGGCCTCCAAATCAACTCTGTTGTATATAATTCACATTCCTCAATACTGTCAGTCTAACCAATTGATATATCTCTAAACCAGGGCTTTTTTGTAGAAAAAGCCCAGCAGGAACTCATTAGCATAATAGGCCACACCCAACAGCAGAAAACCATTAGCATATTAAGCCACACCCCCATGTTACCAGAGGTGTGGTCATCCAGCCACACCCACCTTTTGCTTCTTATTCTGTTTACTTTGTTGTCAAAACCCTGGGCTTTTTTTGTAGCAGGAACTTCTTTGCGTGTTAGGCCACACACCCCTAATGTAGCCAATCCTAATGAGTTTCTGCTGTTAGGTGTGGTCTATTATGCTAATGAGTTCCTGCTGGGCATGGCCAACTCAGGAGCCAGCTGGAACTCCGTTTCTGTGCGTTCCTGCCCCCAAATAGCCCTTCTCTAAACTGTTTTGTGTCCATTCATGAATGCTCGGAGCAGTAGTCTGTTTAAAGTGCTATGCAAATACAATTCTAGCAGTAGTGATAAGATGTAAGAGAAAAGAACACAGATTATTGAGGACCTTTAGTATACAGTTAAGCAAAAGAGACTCAATTGTTACATTGGAATCAGATTCAAAGCCAGCTTTCATTACATTGAGACAGGATTGCCACTAATTTTTAGCTAAAATACAGGTCCACCATATGTAGTCGAAATCAGCTCTAGGTAGGTTACAGTATCAACAAATCAGATAGATTCTTATAGGTTTTTTGCCAGTTTATACAGGGATAGCGACTGTGAAGATATTGTAAGCCTAGAGCCATATCTTAATATATACCTCCACATTTCACATGGAATAATTTTACTTAGATATTTTTACTATTTACTTTGAAAGCTTTGTTTATTTGTCAAATCTGTATTAGAGCACTGTTTTTTGCAATCAGATGGCTATGGTGGTCCATAATGATTTTTTCCCTACTCCTATGGCCAGCACGTGGTTTTGTAAACAGGAAATTTTTAACTTGCAGATATTAAAATGGTCTAATTTTACAATTGCTTAAATCAGTCAGCAACTTTATTATAGTTGATTGTTGAATTATTAGTAATTAAATTTTGCAAGGTGTTGAGATTGGAAAGTTCCCATTTTTCATTTATTTTATTTTTTTATTAGTTTGATATATACCCCGCCCTACCCGTCCAAGGCAGGCTCAGGGCGTCTTACATAAAAATGCATATATAAATACAGTTCTGTATGCATATATAAATACAGTTAAAATCATACATAACACAACCATAAATAGTCAGTTTTGTGAATGAAACTGGAAACAGTGAATGAAACTGGAAATTCTGTAATTTATCTAATTCCCTCACTGCTGATGACATTGGGGAGACATTAGGGGCCAAGATTCTTTTATAAAAATCCCACAAATACATTAAATTATTGATTATAAAGTTACCTTAATTATATAACCTATTCCTAAAATGAGTGAACCCAGGGGAAAGTCCTCAGTGGCATTTTGGCAAAAGACTGCTCAATGCGAATTTCAGAATCATCTGATTGGTTTTTAATCCATTTCAAAATCAAAGCTAACCTTGCTGTATCATAACAGAATTAGGAATAGCTAAATGTCCTTGGTCAATTTTCAATTGAGCAACCTTCAGTTTCACTCTTGGTTTTTTAGAGTCTCAGATGAAACTATTAATCCATTCTGCCAGTCTACATGCTGTCAGTGAGGTAAAAATCTTGTAGTCATAATGAAGTAGGCTAATGGAATGATATGATCTTACATCAGCCAGATCTTTCCCCCTTTTTCGTATTAATACTATTTTTATTCAGTCCATTCTGAGGGCAGAGATCTGTTAAGAAAAACAGTGTTAATTGCCTCTAAAAAAGGCTGAACCAAGACTCCAGTGAAAGCTTTTTACTACGGTGTATTACAAAGGTACAGCCCACCAACACAAGAGACTCCTCTGTCAAGAGGGACTCACCTTCTACTGACAGAATGTGCTGCCCTTAGCTGATAGGATGATTGGATACAACCCACTGAGGGCAGAAAAGCCCACAAGAAAAACCATACAGAACAATCTGTTCCTTCTACAAATCCCCACAAGAATAAATTGAAGGTTCCAGTTTGCTACACTTTGGAGTTCCTATTATTTAGCTGCTTGTGTCAGCCATTATTTATGTAATTATGTAATTATTCATTATTTATGTAAGTGCTATGGATCAAACTCTCTATCCTAATTCTAGTCGACTCTGTGGCTCCTTTGGAAGTCTGAAGCTACACCATTTGTGCTGCTAAGTACTTCATGTTTCCTTCGCCATCACAGATAGGTTCTAAGGCTGCAAGTATCTGTCCCTTTGAACATGAGCAAAGATACATAGGCTCCGGCTGTGAGTGTTACTGCAGCCTAGAGTTCACTAGGAAAAAAAATATATCTGGCTATTTCCATTGCTTTCCCCAGTTGAAAGACTGCCATCTCATTCCTAAACCCCTGACCCACATTGGCACTGAGCATCCAGGAAGTTCCTTCATTGCAGACAGCTCATTATTCATTGTCCTGAGGGACACAGCTAGTGGCAAGTGTATTGCAGAGGTGATACCATCAGTGGCTGTCTTTCTCTTTTAGACATCTATGTGGATTTTCAGAACACCTGGTGTTTCAAATGGCTATCATAAAAGAAAAAGGAAAGGAAAACAAAGAATGCAGATAAAATGTTTCTCTCTGATTCATTTTCCTCACTGTGGAATACCCACCAACTCTGCAAAGGCACCAGATGACTGATACCTAATTCTAGGTTCAAGGGAAGACGTTTCATACCCTGGAGGAAATGGAAGGGGCTCTCTTTTCAAGAAGAATTCTAGTTTGTTCCTCTCCTTTCCTTAAAGATGGATGTGTACAGAGCAAATCCATCTCAGTCTGTTCAGGGTTTTTATTATGTGTACCTTTTTCTGTAAAATATTTTTCTTTCAGACCATTCTTTATGACAGTGCAGGGTTCAGCTGATGTTTAGGATGATTTGCATTATTCACTCCTTGCTTCCTTCTCAGTACTTGCTTCTAACTTGACACTTAACAAAAATACGGGAAATCTGTCATGCTTATCTACTGTCTTTTGTATAAACTGTCTTTTAATGCTTTCAATGTCTCTGGTACTATCGGCAGATATGAAAGCTATTTTGAGTTTATGACAGAAAAGGAGTATGTACATAAGCAAATACAATTCTTGCACAGAAACAATTTTTTTCTAGAATCACATTTCATGGGCATTTAGGGACTTCTACCAACTGTTTATAATCTGACCAGATGGGCCCACCAAGTGTCCCAAGGAAGGAAAAACCATATTTCTCTCTGGCTTGCCCCCACCCCACCTCATTTTCCTGGTGGTAGCTGATATCAAGACTTTTGGCGGCGGGGGGGGGGAGTTGCATTTGTGTGTGCATGTGTGTGTGCATATGTGTGTGTGTGTGTGTGTGCCCGGAAGTCATGGCAACCTCTGGTGACACCTACTGGGACATGGAGGACGTTCAAAGAAGTGGCTTCATAGCCTGCCTCTGTCTCCCGGTCCCAGTATTCCTTGGAGGTCTCCCATCCAAATACTTGCCAGGGTCAGCTCTGCTTAGCTTCTGGGATCTGACAAGATTGGGCTTGTCTGAGCTATCCAGGTCAGGGCAAGACTTTTGCATGCTGCTTTGCTATGACAGCCAAAATACCACCAGAAATCTTGAGTGTGTCTTTCTCTCTGTGTGATGCCTACAGATGTTGCTGTTAACTTTCCTGGGTTTTTAAATCCCTAATTTATTTTTTCTTTATTTTTCAGTCTTCATAGCTGTCACTGGAATTTCCTGTCTGCATGGGTGTCAGCCTTTGCTATTAGATTACAGGCAGGCATGCTAGTTGTCCAAGTATACTTTACTTTTGTTATTTACAGTATTATGATATCTTCAAAAGCACCAAAATAGAGTAAGGCTGGAAATAATGAAGACAGATTTCTCTTGTTTCTGCCGGAAGATTTTACCTTATCAATATAATAAGGTTAAATTGGATTGTGTTGAGTGCCATCGTTTTTTGGGATCAACGTCATTTTGAAAGTGAAAGCTGTGCTCTACAATATCTGCCATTAAACTCTCTTTTGTGCCATCTGGAAATTTGTTGAGGATACCCTTTAATGCTTCAGTAGTGAGCATACTGAATGGCGATGAAACCAAAATTGATCCTGTACAACACCAGTTGTTACCTCTTCCCAGTTTGACTAATTATTAACAATAAGTTGCTCCTGTCCAATCAAAATTGTACTTGCCTTAAGGGAGCCCCTTCTAATCCATAGTTCTGCAGTCACTCATGAGAATATGTGCAATTTGTAAAGTCAGAACAAGATATATCACACCTTTAATTTCAGAACAGTTTACTGTGCCTAATTGTTTTTACTGCAGTACAAAAAAGTCAATTGATTTTGATGATTTATTACCATACATTATCAAAGGGTCTTGCAATCTACTCTTTCTGTTTAGTTCTGTTCAGGTAGAAAGTCATCTGGGCCATCTAAAAACACAAATAAATTGCAGTGAGTCTAAAATAAAAACCCATGAACGTACACACATGGACTTTAGGAATGTTACTTATTGTGTGATTATTTATTTCAAACGAATTTTCCCTTCCTGTCTTCAAACAAAGTTATTTACAAACATGTACAAGCAGATGTTGCTTCCGAAGGGCAGCCATTATTGATACTTTGTCATCTACAGCTGTCTTCTACATCTTACACAAGGATCTTGGCCAATGCACTACCAGAAAAAGGCATGTAAACCTAATTTGGATAATGCTCTTAGATTTTTTAAAAACAAACTATATAAGAGAAGGAATATAAATATATATATATATATATATTTATATATATTTGTTCTCGCTTTCTTCCCTACCCCTCCCAGTTACAGAGATAAGATTAATCTAAAGTTATCTCATTGGGTAGTTTGGTTTGTGGATTATCAAGAATGAAGTTTCACTGCCCAAAGTCTCTATATATTATGAAGAAAGCTACTCACTTGTTAACTTTTATCAAGCGATATTTTTCATTGTATGTAAGAGGGAAAATAGTCAAAAAGAACAGGGTGATTAAAAACACAGCAACAGTATCAATGGGTTCTCATTAAATTTAGCTCAAGATCTTTTATCTTGGTCTTGCCATTGGCCATAATGCCAAAAAATGACACTAGACAATTTGGTCCTTGCAGTTTGACCAGAGCTACATGGACCAGATCCCCTGTCCAAGGGAAACAGCTCTGGGGCTCCATAATTGCATAATCTAGTCTGAAAGGTAAAATATTCATTTTAGGTATAAACTGAAACATTTTAAAAGGGGTTTCATTTATTAATGCAGATATTTAAACATTTTTATTCTTTTCAACTTTTAAGTTATTAATTCATTTTATATTTCTTCCCACTAATCTCCATAGTAGATATTTACCGAGGCTCAAGCTGGAATCTTTGTCCCCTTAGAGGTTGGTGTCTTGACCTGTACCTAGGACCTGAGGAAAAGAGTGGGGGGTTTTTAGTATTCAGAAAACAGGGAAAAATAAAAATATTCCCTTATGGGATTTCATAAACTATCCACATATTTTGAAAGCACAGTATGTCTCTTTCAGCCACTAGTATGTTTTCTTTGCTATTTTTGTTTCACATGTATCCTACAGGATTTATCACAAGTCACAACACTTCCCAGGGATGATGCTAAGAGTAGGATGGGAAATTGGAAGGATGAGCCTGGATTTTGTCATTAGCATCAGATGGTTATAAACAAACCTGAGGAAAAGATGCTTATGCTTAGGCACCCACAGGGAGAGGAAGGAGCAGACGCAACATACAATAAAGCTCACATCCTACATATAGAAACTGCTTTAAGGGTCTACATTTTAGCAATCACAGCCAAATGTTTGGACACTTTTCTTTTTATAACCTAAAGTACTATTGTATTGTTTATCTTATTAATGATAGACAAAAATACAATACAGACTATTAGTATTCAAAATGGTTTGAATGCGACAGTGGTGGTTAGGACGTCCCATCTCTTCATCATATATTCATATCCTGCCTTTCTCCCAAAAGTGGCATTCATGGCGTTACCCTAATTTTACTTCTCAAAGGACTAGTTATGCTGAAATATAGTCAGAGCCCTTAGAGAGTGTCATCCCAGCAGGGCCTGGCGTGCAGGCTCAGGGCCTGGCGTGCAGGGGAGGGTGGTCTACAAGTGGGATAAATAAATAAATATATAAGTTATAAGAGTTGTTAGAGAGATATTTCAGTGAATACATTTCAGTGAATACATTGACAAGTCAATGAAAAACAAAACAGTAACAATTCAATAGCAATTTCGATTTCTGATAGTGCTTAAATAAACCCATTATATCCTCATCCCATGGGAGAGCGGAAAGAAGGAGGCAGCCAGGCTGATGGGGAACCCTTGCTGTCCTCAACTGTAGCCCTGGTGGAATGACTCTGTCTTGCAGGCCCTGAGAAACTGTGCAGAATCCCGCAGGGCATGGATGTCTTTCGGCAGAGAGTTCCACCAGGTTGGAGCCAAGGCCGAAAAAGCCGTGGCTCTGCTCGAGGACAGCCAGATATCTTTCGGCCCAGGGATATGATGCTAAAAGGGAATTTCCCTTCCCTTTGAACAAAGTTCAACAAACAGCTGCAAAGGAGTTAAGAAAGGTTTATCTTAGTTTCACTGATCTGCCTTGATTAGTGATGCAAGTATTTAAATCTATAGTTCCAACACCCCACACAATAGAGAGCATAACAGGGCACAGACAACTCAACCCTTTGCTGCTGCTATTTGTCTCAATTCTGAACTGCTTAAAATTGTATTGTCTGATAAGTCCCCGGCAATTACTTCGTTGCCGAATTCTTAGCCTATGTTTGGAAGCTTAGAGTAGGGGCGTACAAGCCTTAACCCCCTTGTATTTTTTAGAATTGCTATATTCTCAACTGAGTCTATTATTTCCGAGAAGTTTATAAAAACGATTCCTTGTTGGTGCAGTATGGTGTAAATTGTTATAATCCATTACTTTGTGCTATTTATTTTCTATTTGTTTCATTGTTCTCTTTGCTGCTGTGTTATGCCAATAAAGGTCTATGGATGTATGTGTGTGTGAACTGCTGCCTCAAAAATGACACAAAGGAAATGTGTGAAAAGGGATGAATAAACAGCTTATTTACTGCCAGTATAGAATTCAGAATAACTGAGAGAAAACGCAGAAGGAAACATTTAAGGAATCTACAGTCATGAAGTCTTAGATACCTATACCCTAACCGAAACTCATATTATCCAACACTTAGGGCTGATTCACCTAACCCACAAGCACTTGAAAGATACAATACATCTGAGCATACTGCAACTCCCATTTTGTGCTTAGTCACAAGTGTGAAGCAGCCCCCGCCTGTTTTTAGTGCACGTTTGCTTATGTTTGAGCTCAAATATATGTCCAAACATAAGGTGACCAGCATTTCTCAAATGCAGAAAGAGATACAGCAGCTGGTCATGTTCTATTGTTGAGGGTAAGGTTAAATATTAGCTAATCAAGGTTTAGCTGATACTTTTCAAAGGCAGCCCAAATATGAGTCAGAATGAATTGCCTGAGGACTAATTAGTGGGAATCTATGATTGCAAATCTCCAGATAGGGCCTAAAGATATCCTAGAATGTTTGATATCACTGGGAGCTGTAATCCAGTCCTCTGACTGTGAGAGCAGAAGATGCACGTCTTTCACTTTCTTCCCAGGGGCCTTCTCAGCTCAGGAAAACAGCTTGTGGAGGAAAAGCAGAGTCCCTTCCTATATGGTATTATACCCCACTGAAGTCCCTCCTCTCCCCAAATCCTGCCCCTCCTCAGGCTCTACCCCAAAAATATACAGGTATTTCCCAACCTGGAGCTGGCAATCCTAGTTATGTGGCTGTGGGGAAATAAAGTTGGGTCAGGGAAAACCTGACCTGACTCTTGGCCCCACATATGCATTGGGTTCCCAGAAAGGGAAGAGGCAGCACAGACTCTTCTCTTGTTAGCTTCACTTGGGCCTAGCCAGCTCCTATATAATCTGTACAGTTACAGTCCTCCTAAATTACCCAAGAACTGGCCCTGTGGAGAGACAGAATACTTGGTTAGAGAGAGAGATTTGTTTAAAATGGCCAAGCTAACTTTTGTTGTTTCAGCTGATAAATTAACAGATGCTCCAAGCTCAATTGTTACAAGAGAACTAATATAGGGCTGCCAAACTGTGTGTGTGGGGGGGGAATGAAGGAAAATTACAGGCAATTAAGTGTGATATTTTAATTGTCTCATTGAAGCTCTGAATAAAACGCAGGCTTGAAAGAGGAAAAGGCTTTCTTGCAATTGTAAGCACTCTTTCAAGTAGGTCCAAGAAACATTAAATAAAGGTCCAGCACAAAAGCTCAATCAAGCTTTTCTGAATTGGGAACAAATTAGAATCTAAAACTTCAGGCAATAAGACTGACATGCCAGTGAAATTCCTGAACAAATGCAGAAAGCTTTTCCTTAAACAAGAAAATTTGACATGTTTGTGCAGGATCAGTTCAGAATGGAAATTAGTAGTTTACTATGATGTGATTATGTATTCCTGATGCAACTACCCTTATTTAGTTCTTTGAAATATTTATACCCTGCAGTTCAGAATCTGACTGGGGCATCTATCAATACGAAACAAAATAAATATAAAAATTAGAATAACCATCTAATACAGCAGTGATAAAATTCCCCATCAATATGTAAAACAGAAACCAGTAAATCAGCAGCGCTTTCATGCTGTGTTCTTTTTTAATCAGAGTGGTTTTTCCCGTGGTTTGATTTTATGTTTTTATCTTGTTTTACTTTGTGAGGCATCTCAAGAAGACCCCAAGAGGCAGCATGGGAATGTTTTAAATAAATAATAAAACCAGTGAAAAAGCAGACAAAAAAGCAGACAGCATAAAAGTAGAGAGAGGCCATGGCGAAGAGATAACATTCAGTTAAAAGTCCAGGTACCCAGAAACATGTTGATCTGGTACTGAAAAGCCTGTAATGAAGGTGCCAGAAGAGCTTTGAGATAGAGCATTCCAAAGGGAGGGTGCCACTGAAGAGAAGCCCCCATCTTTAGTCGCCACCCATCTTATTTCTGTTGGGGGGGGCACCAGGAGTAGTGCTAGGGCCTTAACTGGTAAGCTGGACAGTACGGGAGAAACAGGTTCTTCAAGTACTCTGGCCTCAAGCTGTTCAGAGCCTTAAAAGTACTATAACTGCAGCTCAGCAGAAGCAACAGCTCCTGCAGACCACCACTGGCTGATGATTAGAGCTAATTACCTGAGTAATAACTAAGGCCAAAGTGGGGGTTCTTGGGACTGCCTTCCCCGAACATCAGAAAAAGCTCCAGGCAGAGTCCAGAGGCTGCAGCCCTATCTCAGCGGAGGCAACAACTCCTGCAAACCAAGGCTGGCAGGTGATTTTTTTTGGGGGGGGGTATAGACTATGAGGGTGGGTAGGGTGGAGGTCCATAGCTTGGCTTGGACTATTGTGGGTTTGGTTGATTGTGTTTTTTTGGTGCACTATAAATTTGCTGCACAGCTGGTTAGATCCTCTCACAGGTGCAGAGGGAAACCAGAGTAAGCTGTTCCTAGGTGGCCAGGGAATCCCTATAACATGGGGAGGGGGGAGGTATGGCGGTGGGCAGAGAGTTAAGTTTAGAAGGAAACCAATATATGGACATGCTCGGTCCCCTCCTATTCACCTTCCCATCCCAAGAAATGATGGTTGGCAGACCCAGACTTCTTTGCCCCCCTCATTAAGCTTGATGTTGTGCAGTGTCAGATCAATGATCAATAAGACTGCCTCCCTTGAAGAATTTATTAGGAAAGGCAATTTTGATCTGGCATGCTTGACTGAGAGCTGGGTGGATGAGGATGAAGCTGAGGCTCTCACTGAGCTGACTCCCCCAGGATACTTGGCTCTTCATCAACCACAAACAGGAAGATGGGGGTGGCAATTTTCATTCGAGATTCTTTCTCCTTCAATACCTTACTCCATACCCGTAGATGATCTCTCCCAGCGGTTTCATGTATATGTTAAACAGCATGGGAACAAATTCAGCCCCAGTGGAACCCCACAGCACAAATACCACAGGACAGAACAGCAGTCCCCCAGTAATATCTTCCAAAAGAGGCTGGCTAGGTAAAAACACAGAACTACCAAACCACAGTGGCCCCACTCCCAATCCAGCCAAATGCTCCAGAAGGACAGCACAGATGACGGTATCAATCTGCCAACAGGTTCAGAAGAATGAGCATGGATACATTCTCATTGTCATTCTCACGAAGAAGCAGCCTTGGTAGGCTTGACTGATGATTTTGCCCAAGCCTTGCCTTTCATCGCATGACATCAGTCTCTAAGCCAGTTTGGTGTAGTGGTTAAGTGTGCGGACTCTAATCTGGGAGAACCGGGTTTGATTCCCCACTCCACCACTTGCACCTGCTGATGTGACCTTGGGTCAGTCACAAGCTCTGGCACAGCTGTCCTTGAAAAACAGCAGTTTGTGTCAGAGTTCTCTCAGCCCCAGCCACCTCACAGGGTGTCTGTTGTGGGGAGGGGAAGATAAAGGAGTTTGTAAGCTGCTCTGAGACTCCAAGTGAAGGGCGGGGTATAAATCCAATCTCCTCCTCTTCCTCCTTCTCCTCTAACACATACTGGAGTGGAGCAATGATTGTTTTCTGCTAAACTGGATGCAGTGACTTTCTTCCACTAGGTCTTCCACCACCACAGAAAGAATTTCTCTGTTCTAGGAACATTTCATGAAAGGGTGTTATTAAATCCAATTTAGCAGTAGAGTCATTGGCAATAATTCCTGTATGTGAAAAAAGTCAAGGTTATGGTAAATACATTTCTAGGGACTGTGGAGCATTATTCATCTATGAAGTGTGTTATCTGTGTGTGGAAAGGAGTTACCAGGAATTTGGAATTCAGATGAAAAAGCAGGTGTCTGAGGACCTCTCCATGAGCATCCCTGGTCTGGAAGGTGATACGGATGAGATGGAATCCTATCTGGGTTCTGAAAGCGAGAAGCCCCTCCCCTTCCTCTTCTCTCTGAAAAATAATTTCTTCCACTTGATGCTGAAAATAAAAAGACCATCTTGACTTCTCATTGGACAGTTTCACAGTAACAGGTTAGATACAGATTACTTTATAAAGACTACAAAACCATTGTTATTCTGCAGTGCAATGTAATGGAAACATACTTAATCTAGACAAGGCGGAGGTGATGCTGGTTGGGAAGGCAGAATGTTTGGCTGTTGCTACCAACCTTTAGTCCTTCAGGATGGCGTGCCAGAGTGGGTGAGGAGGGTACCTTCCCTTGCTACCCTTAGGAAGGCATGCAAGGCCGTGGTATTCCAGCATTTGGTGGAGGCTGAATTTTTCTACTAGATTTGACTCTGGGTTTGCTGATCCTAGGTGTTTTAACTCTTGCATGTTTTGTCTGAATGTTTTAAAATTGATAAATTATGTATTTTAATCTGTTTTGTTTACTGGATTATGATTTACACCTTTAGAACTTTGTTTGCTCCAAGATACTGTCCACAAAATGGATTTATTAAAAGAGTTAACATGATACCTACCTGGCACAAAACTGTTCTCTCTTTGTCTACTCTGGATTTTTCTACCTTTTGCTGAGCATACTTTGCAAATAAGAGACATCCGATTCTGAAACTCTGAGAGCCAAGATTCCTGTAGACAGAAGGCAAAGATAACACTTGCACATTCAGTCTCTTTTTGAGACCAGCCCCCTAACTTCTGTTAAATTAATACCTACTCATGGATTGAGCTAGAACCCTACCCACAGTCCAGACATGCAGATCAGAGCTACTTATCTGCTTCCATTTCCTACCTCTTCAGTACTTTCCCACTCCTCCTCCAGAGGCAAAAATCAATGTGCAGACATCATATCAAAATAACTACGTCATAGCCTTACTTTAAAAAGGTAAAGGTTCCCTTGCTCGAAAGCCAGTCGAATCCGACTCTAGGGTTGCGGTGCTCATCTCCGTTTCAAAGCCGAAGAGCCAGCGCTGTCCGAAGACGTTTCCGTGGTCATGTGGCCGGCATGACTAAACACCAAGGCGCACGGAACGCTGTTACCTTCCCACCGAAGTGGTACCTATTTATCTACTTGCAATTTCTTGCTTTCGAACTGCTAGGTTGGCAGGAGCTGGAACTAGAGACGGGCGCTCACTCCGTCATGCGGCACACCCGGGTCTTGAACTGCTGAACTACTGACCTTCCACAGCCTGCAGTTCAGCATCTTAACCACTTGAGCCACCGCAGCTCCAGCCTTACTTTACACTAACATAATTTTTTTTTAATGTTAGCCTTACTTTACACTAACATTAAAAAAAAACAGAACAAAGGTTGAGTCCAGTGGGACCTTTAAGACCAACAAATTTTAATTCTGGGGATAAGCTTTTGTGTGCATGCAGACTTCATCAGATAACCAAGGACTGTATCCTAAATACTGTTGTTGATATAAAGCCTGTGGGGGTATAGCAGCAGTAAGCCACAGAGCCCCCTGAAATTCTACTCTTGGGGATCAAGGGACCCTCAGGAACAATTAGAGATGTAAAATTTCCGGAAATTTTGAAGCTCGGGAAAAAACCCGTTTTTTTTTGGAAAAAAAACGGAAATTTTCGGAAAAATTGAAAAAAATGCTACATTAGCATTTCTTTTGTTTTTTCTAGATTGAAAGTCATTCTGTTACTTTAGGAACATAAAATATGACTATGGACATTTTTATTTAGCATGAAATTATCACAACTAGCATATTAAAAATATAGTGTATCCAAACAATTATTACAAACAGAATACCCACCCACATGCAAAAACAAAACTGAAACCTTTTTATTGTCTTCTGACAATAGCACCTCCTAAAGGAAGAAATGCATCTTGTTCTTGCATTGGAGAGTTCAGTTTGTAACCTAGGACTGGCTTGTCCTCAGTGCACAGAAATTAGATCAATCTGATACCATACATATATATTTTAGAAATGATTTGGAAAATATTTGGAAGCAGGAACAAGAAAGGGAAAAAAACTAAACCTAACAAAGAACTCCAAAACCAAACAAAGGTTAGTGGAAAGGAGGGCCAATATTAAAACCTTTTCATAAAAAGAGGTATATAAAACATATATAGGGGCCCAATTACAACCAATATATATAAAACTTTTTTAGCCCTGGTTATGGTTATGTTTTATATATATTGGTTGTAATTGGGCCCCTATATATGTTTTAATTTGTTATTATTAATAAATACATGTACCTCTTTTTATGAAAAGGTTTTAATATTGGCCCTCCTTTCCACTAACCTTTGTTTGGTTTTGGAAAATATCTGAACACCTTGTCTTAAAATATTTTATTCATCATGTTAAAATAAAACGTTCCATAATCATTTTTTCTTTTCTTTTCTTTTTCCAATTTTTCCAATTTTTCGGAAAAAAACAAAAAATCTTCAGGGAAAAAAACGGGAAAAAAACGGTTTTTTCCTGAATTTTTCCGGGTTTTTTCCGGGCCTTCACAACTCTTGGAAGAATGGGGGGGCATAAAGTGTTAGGGAAGGCGTGGTGGAACAGTCCTGCTCTGGCCTGAAGACCCTGTTCCACCCTGCCCTCCAAGGTTTTACCAACAGCTGGAGAGGCTTTTCTCTCTCTACAGTAACCTGCCATCACCACCTGACCCTTGTAGGAATTGTCCCCTGGGAGGATCAGGACTCCCAGCTTCCCTTTCAAGTTCTGAGGCCATGCCTCTGTGTCTCCCGCTACCCACCACCTGGTCACCATGGGACCAGGTTACTGCCTTGTGCACCCCTGGAGGAATAGTCGCTTGCCAACTGACTGCCTCCTCCCTGGCATTCCTATTAAAATAGCATGTCCAAGGTGGTGGAGGTCTATGTGGTACAGAGAACCACTAACAGAATAAAAGGTTATAAGATATTTATTAAAAAGAAAATGTTTACAAGCATACTCTTAGGACAGCACCAGACTGAGCAAGGGATTCAAAAGAAAAGGGCAAAACATAATTCCTCTGTCCCTCCTTCTATACACCCATCAAGATAACGCAGCTGTTAAGCTTCTGGTCATTAATCCAAAGCACCAGCCCTGCAACGTGATTGGTTCTCTTCATTCTCTCCTTTGTCTCACCCCCTTCCCCCAGAGGTGTCACTCCCTGCTGAAAAACATTAATTTTCAATTGGCCAGCTAATTAATCCCTTTATGCCACATCCAGAGTTTAAGTTTTTTTCTAGTACTTCCTGGGAACCACATGAGCCTTTTGCCTCAGGTCATGTTTTAAGTATTTAGGGAGAGCCCTCCCTGGACTTGCTCTCTTGCTTTTGTCTCTTCCTCTCCTAACCACATCCTACCTTGCTGGTTCCACCCCTGCACAGTTTGGGACCGTTCCACATGTGTTGCTGGTCAACTCATGCCCCCTTCCCTTATTTTATCCCATTTTCACTGCAGAATCAACTCGCCCCGCCAGTCAGGTAAAGTATCACCCAACCAACAATACTTCCTGCTCATGCAAACGCCTCTATATTTTCTACTCTGTATTCTTAGTCCTGTATGGTGTGTATGGATGCTAGATTTTTTGTTTGTATGCTTGAAAAAACCTTAGTAAAGAAATCATTGCTTTAGCAGCATGGCCTCTGCATCTATTCATGGGTTCTGAGAATTCTGACTCCATATACATAGGTCATGGTCCTATATTTAATGCCTATTGCCATTTAATACTCATAATTCCCCACATCCATTCATAAATAAGGCAATTTGGCTAACACCTCTCTTTGTTCACAGTGGGCACAAACATTGCTTGTTCTCACAACTAAAACGTTTCGGGCCTGGAAAGTCTTGAATCAAATTATACTTTCCAATGACATCCAAATGCAGGCACCTGGGTAAACTAGAACTGACTTGCTCTCCACAAACCATGATTCTAAATTGCAGTTATACTCTGGTTTAGAATCCCTGCTTATAGGGAGGAAAAAGTCTTCAATTTGTCCAGGTGACTGCATTCAGACATCACAGCAAGTTGTAGTGTGATAGCTCCCAAAACCAAAAAAACTTTCAATCCTGCTCCATGGGATTGCACAGGCACAGAACAAGCTGTGTTCGTGCCTGCCAAGGACAAACAGATGTCTGAATGCAGCCTACACCTCTGACTAAACAACAACAAAACCCAAATTATCCCAAATCAAAATCAGCTCCCAAGAGAATAAAAGCCTTTAATCTAAAGTCTTCTCCTGAAAGTCTCTCTGATACACTTCTTTGTCTGCTTTTCTTCATACTTTGAGGAGATCAGATCTGTACTTTTATTCATTACTAGAGCAGTGGAAACAATACCAGCTGATAACTACGGTATGTTCAATTTTACTGCTGCTGGAAATGAGAGCAGGAAAACTGTTGGGAGATGTGCAGGACATGTAAGAGCATCAGAGAAATGAAATGAAATGAATATATAAATAAATAAATATAGTTTGGAGAATAAATTTAGTTTTTTAGACAAGAATGTTTCTTTAAAACCAAGCCTTGGTACTTACATTGCCTTCCAAAATCTCATGTAAAGGCCATCCTCTGTGAGCCTGCTGGTATTTCTCTTGAAAGAGTTTCCCATCAAACAGGTGCCATGGCATTAAATCGTCCATTCTGTAGGGGAAACCACAGGCACTATTGGCCATAATCAACATGGACAGGCCACGGATGAAGAGAGAACTAAGCTGTACGGCTCTTGAATCAATTTGGGCAAGCTGTCAAAATAAAATAAACAAATAAAATAATTTGAAGTATATCCACACAGACACAAGGACACTGACCAGACTCACTCCACGTGATAGAATTTAGAGGAGGCCACTGCTAGCCAGGCCCACTGCCAGAACTCTGTTGGTGGGAGGAGAGCGGAAGGAAACACTGCTAAGAGTGGGGAGGGCAAGCATACAGTATGTATCAGCAAAACTGAATGACAGATTATCTAAGAAAGTAATTCTAAATTATTGTATTGCTTGAATAACAAAGTTCTGGTTAGTCATTCCAGTGTTCAAACCCTTAACGCAGGGGAGAAGGTTTATGTCTTACTGAGAATTTGAATACAATGTCTGCATGTATTCCTTATATATCCTTATATATAAAGACTGTTTTTTAAAAACTGAAAATGAAAGAAGTACCTGGTGTGTTCTTGAATTCCAGCACCTCACAGCCCTGATCCCTCACTTGCTGGCTACGATCAAAGTTCTAGTTCACTTTACCAGCTATATCAAACATGTGCAACATTGAGAACATGCTCAGTGTGTGATTGCTTGACTGGTGAGGGACTATGCCAGCTGCTGTAACCTTCTTGGGGCACATAGCAAGAAACCAAAACCCCAGGGAAAGGGTGGTGGTAGTGGTAGGAAAGATGGCGGGATCCAACCACCAAGCCACTTTGGCCTGAATGATTTCCAGTGAAGCCAGAAACAAAACCCTCTGCCCATGCCACAAGGAAAGCTGGGGCTCTGTCCCACCTGGCAACTCTTGCTGTGAGGTGTGTGCATTCTGTCTTTGATGGCTGAATTAATTACTGATAATTAATTTTACATGCCACTTTTCAGGCACTCCAATAGTGTGAATACAGGGATTCTTCTATAGCCAAAATAACCTTGCTGCTTTGGGGAAGGGGAGGGCTTAATGTCTTTAATTGGAAAAAAAAAATACTTGTGGGTACCATATGGCAAATTCAGATAGGCTGTCTGTGACCAGACAAGCACTCCATAATTTGTTTTTAAAACAGTATCTTTGTTCTTTATATACAGAGCCTTTCAAAAGTGGCAGTGGTAACAGAACCCAAGTTTTAAATGTATAAATGATGAACACAGGGTGCAGTCACACACACTAAATAATCCACTTTCAGTGCTCTTTCCAACTGGATTTTACTTTGTGAACTCGCCTCTGAGTGAAAAATCAGCCTCTGCTTCTGCTATATATTTCAGGAAGCCTCTGCAGTGCCACACAGATGCAGTCAACAGTGGTCTTGTGTGGCAGGGGATGGTGTGTGAGCCCATCATTAGAGCCTTTCCTTTGGAACTTGATTCCATAAGAGGCCCTTGCAACTGGCCCTCAAAAACTCACCGAAAATAGAAGAGACAATTGTGATCACACATACATGGTATTCTATATATTTTACACAATTTACTCCTTTTTCTGGATTTGTTTTCTGCTGCATTGTTTGAATAAAGCCACCTGTTGTGGTTTAACGATGTTCTCAGACCAATGGACAATGTCACTCTCATTTGCAGGGATTTTTCCCCTCAGTCTCCAGTGCTAAAGTAGGAATGTATGAAGGTACAGCTATGTGCTACGTGACATGAATTTTGTGGGGGGTTTGTTACAAGTTGCATAAATACTTCTACCTTCTCTTACTGATCTCTCTCTCTCTTTCTTTTTTGCTGGCCAAAAGTACTGGTGTACTACAAAATATAACAGCACACATAATCTTCAAACACAGCATGAAAAAAGAAGAGATTAATTTTCTAATTTTAATCATACAGCAATTAAAAAACAACAATTAAAGCCAATTAAATAAGTTCCTGACTAACTCAAGCAATCGGCACTCATGCCAATTGCCAAATGATTGCAACTGTATCTTAAAACTGGCTGATTTCCTAAATAAAGGTATTTGGTTACAATTTGATTGTAAATATAAAACCACTTCATCATACTTCACATTATAATCGGCTCAGTCTGCTGACCTCTGTCCCCTCCCAAGGGACCTTACTGAAGAGCTAGTCACAAACACTTCTGCAGGTTAGTGAGAATAAGAGGTCCTGGGGTCTCTCTTTTATAACAGTACCTTGCCCCCTCTAGTAAGACATGCCCAAGAATCCAAATAAAAGTGACTGATCCCACAACTGCATATTCATCAAGATGCAGAACCATTCTCAAAGGATACTAAAACATCTGAACACGGCATTCGTGTCTTCCACATTTTCAAAGTCTTCCCTTCAGAAATTATAATCACAAATTATAATCTAATGTAGCTCAATGGGACACAAGGACTCTGCTCCCTAGTAGTACATGTGCTGGTATCTTTCATTATTCACAGAACTGAAGGGCAGTTTGTTTCATTTCCAAATGAGAAATAAATGTAATGACAAACCTCCTGCCTCTACCTGAAATAGGGCCAATATTGAGTCCGATCACACAATGATATCAAGGAATGCTCTAGAAGTGACCCTCTAGCCTGGGTATCTAAGGGCAGTAGACACCATCATCATGTCTTTGACACAGCAATTGATTTGGATTGCACAGAGCTAGCCTCAAATCCTTACACAGCCAGGAAGCCAGTGAGAGGCTTTGGACCAATCTCGCTCTTTATCCTAACCTATGCTGTGGAAGAACATGGGGAGAAAATACATCTCCTGCCCTGAGCACCTTAGTAGAAAATGGCAAGATACAAATGTGTCCAGAAGACAGATAAGAAGAAAATGGATGGATTTGTTTAAAAAATTCCCATCAATGATTACTTCCGGCAACAACATGGTGGCAAATGGCAATTTTAAATAATCTGAGGGGTATTATCTGATGAAGGGAACTCTGACTCTTGAAAGCTTATACCCTGAAAATCTTGTTGGTCTCTAAGGTGCTACCGGACTCAAATCTAGCTGAGAGGCACCGTTCATCTGCTTTAAGCCAGGGGTCATTTTGTAGAAAAAGAGCTAGGGGGACTCATTAGCATAACTCATTAGCATATGCCACACCCCCTGACATCACCGGAAGTGTGTCCTCCCCACAGCCGGCGGTGACCTCCAGCGGGCACCAGCAGGGAGCTCCAGGCCCCGCCCTCCCGCACCTCACCCGGGGGGATGGCGTCCCCCCGCGTCCCCCCCAAATGACCCCTGCTTTAAGCAATCTGATGACTCAAGGTCAACACAGCAGAAGGCACATGGTTGTGCAATAACATAGTTAAAGAGCTGTTTTCTTTCTGGTGAGCGCCTTTTTACTAATGATGGGGCCAGTTCACTTGAAGTAAGACAGTAGTAATGTTGGCAAACTGTAGCTTGGTAAGAAATCATAGTTTAGATGCCACCTTGACAAGGTGGTAACTTTATCTGGCATCAATCAGCTTTACGCAGGAGATGAAAGTTCGGCCCACCTTGACTTGCTGGAATGCAAAATGCATTTATTTTGAAAACACATTTAAGATGAATTTGTAAAAGACCCCAGCTTAAGCTAAACCCTTCCTGTTTAGTCAAGCAAAGGAGTGTGGCTCAAAAGAGAAAGGTCCTGCCCGACTCCAATATCCACTCAGAGGCTAGAGCAGAAAACTAGAATAACCAGTTCTTAAATGTCCCTAAAGTTTCATAGTAAATATTTAACAGTAAACAACTCAGCAGTTTAGGGTTTATATACTCAGAAAGGTTTATTTGCTGTGCTTCAGGAGCAGATTTGTGTAAAGTGATACTTCTGTTGAACAAAACTGGTATTTACTGTAAGCCAAGACTCTAGAATGCACCTAAACAAAGATACCGATATTGCTTTACATTTTTGTGTTCTACTGAAAAGAATCTGCAAATCAAAACAGAATGAGAAACTCACCACAAACAGAACCATGTTTGTTGATCAAATCCAAACCAATTAAATTTACTTCTGTAGTTCAAAGGGATGTGGGGACATGCCCACACAGCACTTTTCTGCATGTCTAGTCCAGTACTGTACGAGGGAACGATGGGGGCCTTTTCCCTTGCAAAAGGAAGTAACAATCATTTAAGTTACACAGCCTGCTATGTGGACCAGATGATGGCCGGTATGGGCCAGAATCATCCTGGTCATGTGCTGGATGTGCTACACACTATGAGTTCCATCTGCTAAATCAGAACAGTGTGACATGTCTTTAGGGCCACTTCCGAACAACTGAGATGTCCCCCCATTGTGATCTCTTCCACTTTATAGACCCAGCTTCTCAGCATTCTACCATGCCCAACAGATGCTGTGGTATTTGGTGAAGCTTTTTCCACTGGGTTGTTTTCTATCATGCCACATAGTTAACAATAGCATGTCCTTCCAGCACAAAAAACTGTCCACCAACATGAGTCTCTTCCATGACTGGAACTGCCCCTTGTGTTGGAGGATGGCTCCTTGCACTAAAGGAAGATGGTGCCATGCCACCAGCTGAGTGGAGTGGTAGGATACAACCCACTGTGTGTGTGGGAGGGAACCAACAGTGGAAATGAGCATCTCACCAACTGTATTCTATTCAAAACAGATAAATTTGAATTGTAAACTTCTTTAAGAACCAATTTGGTGGGGAAACTTGAATAAATCTCCTTGCATGATTTATATTCAGGAACCAAGGTACAAAATGCATATGTACCCCATGAAGAGAGCTAAGACAGTGTGTAGTATACAATTCAAATTTCACCTCTGCCATGAACTCACTAGGTGCTCTTTGGCATACCAGACTCTCATGGTTCCAGCTCCCTGTCTGCAATATGAGGATAATATTGACCTAATGTGCAGGGTTGCCATAAGGATTACTGAAATAAAGGAAGTGATGTGTTCCAACCACTTTAAATTGCTATATAAATGCTATGGCAGTGATAATTATGATGAAGTGCATAGAAGAAGAGGTGCACTGTGAAGTGCACAGACTTGTAGAATTAAGCTTGTGCCTATTTTTTAAAAAAACTCAGAAGTGGTTGTCCACTCCATTCCCATGGTCCCTTCTGAGCTTTTAAAAGACATGCTTCTAATGTAACTCATGTCTATCCTTCACCTT